GAGAACTCACCTCTCTCTTTCACATAAACACACACTCGCACAGGTATACCGTTCGTACATACACCGCCATGACTACCAACAACTTTTCTCGCGTTCGAGTGGGCACGATGGGGGGTACCGGGGGCAACGGGCGCTGCACTGGTCCTGGGGTGGCGATGCAGGTCGATGGAAGGGGAGAAGGTCCAAGAACTGCGGTTGTTAACTTCTTTCCCCATGCATCATGTAATTGGACCCCGGGACAGGGTTAGACGGGGGCGTTGGTTTTTCACTCTTCTCTCTCTCTCTCTTTTTTCTCCATACGCTCTCACGTCTCACCCTTGTTTCCTCACAATGCCCTCAACACACGAGTCAACAGGCATATTGATCTGGATTCGCTGGATGTTTGGGGGGCTCATCACCTCCGGGATCAATCGCTGTCAACCAGAACAAATATCAGACGAATCCGAGAAGCCAGGAAGCAAGAAAAGCAGAGAAGGGACCAGAGAGAGAGAGGAAGGAAGAAGGAAGGAAGGGAGGAAGAGAGGGAGGGAAAAAAAGAGGCGTGCTCTTGCCCTGGCGACACGTCACTTCACTTCTGACTCCTGTGGTGAGTGGATCGTCCCCCTGATAGAGAGACCTTGCATACTTTATCGGCCTCCCTGTGTGAGTGTTTGATAACTTCACTTGATAGTGCGTCATATGGAAAGATAAGCTTTACACCGCCCTATCAGGTTACAGTAATGATAAGACCGAGCTCCCTGGGCTCGGCATGCCCCCGTCCTTGTTTTATCTCACATTTCTTTCACCCCTCCTTCCAACGGTACATGTTGTAGGATATCGAGCTATTAGTACCGACTCTATCGATAGGCTCCGGCGGGTACGCGAACTGATACCGAGCCCTCAATCTTGCCCTGACGTCCGATGCCGTTCGCATTGCCCTTTCTCTTGCGAGCCCTGTAGGAAAGATGTTAGGGACTTGGGAGTTGTGGGTTTCGAAAAGAGTCGCCCGTCCGAATGTCATTCTTGGTTCATTCTGAGCGTCTAAAACGAATGGAATGGGCGGGCCAAAAAAAGGATGAAGTCCTCTCGTGTCTGATGGACAGAATGCTTGGAGGCATCAGACACAATGCATGCTCTCCACGCTTTCTGAACGTCGAACTCCAGAGCATTTAATTCCTGCCTCGTTCGGAGGAAACTCATTCTTGAATCGCCCACTTCATTTTTTTTAAAATTTATTTATTGAACTTGCTGATTTGAAAAATAGGAGCCGATGAATCCCAAGATTATGCCGCCCGTCTTGGCGTTTTCAGAAATTCATCGCGAGCAATATTCATCATGAATGAGATATGCAAAGAGCCGTCGAACAGTCTCACTTTCGCTGTAATATCTATAATCTTGCATTTTTTATCTAAACCAGCCATAAGCCTCATCCAGAATTAGGAAAGAGCTTAAGTGACCTCCTTTCTCTTCGTCCCATTCCGATGATCAATACGACACAGATATAGATAAAGTGTATGAGCTCAACGTACATGGTACGTCACAAAGAATTTTTGTTTCCCATGGTTACGGGGTTTGTTTTCCGTGATTTCTATGCGCTCATGTTAGAGCTTGCCTCTTCCCAGCTCTGTCGGTTATATACAGTAGTTACATGCAGTTGTGATTACGGGGATGGAAACAGCCCTACAATTTTGCTATTTCGGACGAATTAGTGTCATCCTACGAGTAGCTGATGTCAAATAGGCCTGTATGCATGCAGAGGTACATTTCATATATTCGCGCCGCAAGTTGGGGTGTATATATCTGCAGGCTTCCTAAGTTATCCTAAGAGTGCCATGCGCATTCACGTTTTCAATAAAATCAAATCTCGACGAAATGATTATCGGCCCCCCCCCCCCCGACCTAATACAGACGTTTTCTTTCGAAACGGTGACCTAGATTTATATATTTTTAAAATTCTTTGTGAAAATCATGTCGTGGAACTGGAGCATGAAGATGACAAGTTTTCAGTTTTAGGGCCTCCCCATCTGTGCTAAAACGCCGATCTCAGCAGTTTTAATCAAAAACACGAAGTCTGCATTTCGTCAGTTCTTCGTCGTTGTGGTGCTTTTCTCGCCCAAACTAAAACTTTGGCGTCAGCTGTCAAAAATTATGTCCGAAAGAAACTAAGATTGTTAAAACTGCTCATTCGTAGTCTTTAGACTGAACCAAATAACGAAGGGGAAGGTAGTTCAATATTGCAAGACAACATTCGTCAGTCCCTAGCCATTCTTTATTGAGATTGAAGTGGTCCAGAAATGTCCTTCCTCTAAGAGATTCCAGTGTTTCATTTCTTTCCCCCTTGTTGGATGCTTGGTCTGACCCATACGAATCCCTACCGTGCTTGTAAGCTCTTTTTTTATGTAGCTTCAATCGATATGCGTATTGACAACTGGTAGTGCTTCCTTCAGGCGAGGATCATGGAGCTGTATCTTTGTCTTAAGAAAAATTGGAACAAATAGTTTGTTTATTTGAATGTTGACAGTGGTATACAAAAACATGGATTTAAAAATTAATCCCGAGTTAAACCTTATAATTTCTCAGGACAATCGAAAATAACTTTACTGCGATCTCGAATTCGACCTTCAGATATTCAGAAATTTTGTAGCAAAGGTGAAAGGCAAGTCCCAGGACTGCCACGATGCAGAACCCCCTTAGCCTTAGGGATTTACGATTGGAGAAGATAGGATGGGAAACGAGGAAGGAGGGGGAGGGGAGGGGCTTGAAGGCTGCAGCCGCCTCCTCATTGGCTCCTCCCCATTCCCAGCCCTTGGACCTTGCCAGCCCCGACCACTGTCCTCTCATCTCCCAGTAATTATTATCATCATTCCGTCCCATTCCAACTGTCTTACGCAGTTGCAAGAATCCATCGCATCAAGTGCTCGCCCCGCTACCTTATCCTTGTAATCAGACCTGAGTAACAAAATTACTTACCTAAGCAAAAATGTTACGTCACTTCACGTTACAATATTTTCGTTTTCTCTTTGCTCTTGGAAGCATAACTCACGAGGTTGCAGCAAAATTTGTTTGTTATGGTACGTCATTTCCTTTACCTAGCCCTGATTGCAATTGATTTGACGAGAATGAATGTAGCCTACTCGACACGGTGCCGCACGCATCTGGAGCTATTATTCTTATTGACAAAGACCCTACTCAAGAGTTGGATTTGCATTCCACAGAGCTAACCGAAAACATATCCAATTCTTGAGCTTAGTCTTTTCTTGACTCAAAGGGAACACAGAGACCTTCCAGACACCTTCAACCTAACCAATTAAATTACACGCCTTCACCTAACCAATTAAATTACGCTGCGTGGCATGATGAGGTGTGATCCTGCCTCCGTGAATTCTTTCCAAATGTCATTTGCGGGTTTTTACTCGCATTATCCCGGAAACTCAAATGCCTTCCCCCTTCCCATGTAGCTCTTCCTCCTTCGTATGGACGCAATAAAAAATACTGGATATCTCGAGGATATTTGATTTTGTTCCTCATTCGCCCATTCTTCGACTTCATTGATAGGATTTAAGTCAAGGAGCGTTCGTCGAGAAAAGCAGTCCCAATGCAGCGAAATGCGTGGACTTTTCGGGAGTCTTCAGCCTTAATGGCTCATTTATGAGGTTTTCGTATCGCGTAAGTCCCAGGCAAGTGTTATGCAGAACCCCACGGAACAACACACCAGTATGACGGGTATCAAGCTGGCTATCCTCATTGGGATTGAATTAATAAATTTATAAATGCCAAGGAGATGCAAGCATACCTTGTGAATAATACCACGCTTCCACGCATTCGAAGGGTATATACCTCGGATAGGCTATGAAAATTTACAGCCCAGTATGCGTAGCCACGTTCAGTCGGTGTGGAAAGGACGTAGATTTTTCGTTGTTGAAACACGGAATAAACCTAGCATGGAACCTCTACGTGAAATATATGTTGCTTTGGGACCGACTCCTCATGGAATCCACGTCGTGTAAAGTACATTGACTTTATGTACCACATGACGCAAAATCCGTCATCCACTTAGATTCCCCGTAATTTCCACATTCCATGCTTAATTGCAGACCATGCAGGTATCCAGCGTACGTACCCATGAGAATGAAGTTTAATATATAGTCCTGCTCTGAAGTATGTTTAAGGATAAAACAGAGAGAAGTAAATTAATATCTGGATGCTCTTATTGATCCCAAGGCAGCAGTGTCCCAAGTAGGTTGGATCGGTCACATCGCACATTTCACATTCAAGTAAATAAGATGCATGTCAGATTATACCCTACGTATCTTTTTTTTTCTTCTGAGTTTCTAATCTCTAAAATTCTTTCTTTTAATCTTTTTGGTTATCCTTCTCGCACCATTCTTTTTACTCCCATGTGTCCCACCACTCTGAAACTTTTGACACCCCTGCCCTAAGGCATTGGAGTCTGAGCACGCCCGAATGTAAGGGGGGTGGGGGAAGGGGCTTACTTTTCCACTCCTTTCCACTCAACACCTCCCGGCTTACCTACCCGCTTGCGTTGTGATTCCTGAATTCAAGGTTGGTCGTCACCTTCCAACATTTCTATGCACCCTAGAAAACAAACGAGTAAATATTGGATGCCTACATTGCATTCTAATGGTCATCCCTTGAAGGCAAAGTTTAAATATCTGGGATGTGAAAATCGATAACTACCTATCAACATGAACTCCGCATTAATTATGCCACAACCAAGCACCCACTTTTCTGATCTACCTATAGATCTACCTATAACTGACTTCGATTCAATGTCAACTTGCAAACTGGGAGGTTATTATCTACACCATTGTTATTTCTTCCGCCTGATGAGAAGTATTTGTTGTTGGCGGTGCGTCCATCCTCTAATTTTGCCATACTTGCTGAGAGGTTTCAGTTATGATGACTCTTCCAGTACGTACGTTTGATCAATGTGATGCATATGGTTGAATGGATGTCTGTTGCAGGTTAAGGACGCGGGACATTGAACGAATGGTAGTGCTATGCAACTGGAAGACGTGTCACAAGGCGGGATGTCTTCTGAAACTGGTAATACAAGGGAGGATGGGACTCCTCCTCCAAATGGAGAGATTCGAGACCTAGGATACCCTACTCCACCACCCACTAATCGGGCTAGTCCCTCTGGGGGATCAGGCGAAGAATTGGAACCAGTCATCCGTCTCACTTCCGTCATTACGTACAGCCATCGACCGTCAGCAGGACCGGGATCGGGACCCGGCCCTGGACATCCAGACTCCGTTGGACTAACAGGGGAATCCGAGTTTTATCTTTTGGATGGCGGAGGAGATAAGGGAGTTTATCAGTGTTTCCGAGAAGATAGTGGACCTTGGCAGTGCGATCCCAATCAAGACCTCTACCCTCTGTATCCAACGTTGAGTGAAGCCTCCTTCCCAACTCCTCTCAGTTCTCCCGGATGCTGCAATTCCAGCACGCATTTCCATTACGGTGCACATGCCCACGGAATTACCCCAGATGATTCTCAGGAACTCAAGTCCCATCATAACCCCTCCTACGAAAAGTAAGCTCAATCCACTTCAAGGTTTCATGGAATATTTTACCAACTTATGGTTGGTAAAATCTTGGTCTTGGTTCTGTTGAGAGCCTCCTGCGTCTGCGGCTACGGGAAGTGAGGTTCCTGCTGGTACGGAATGTTCGATCCGTAAGGATGAAAAAGGGATAATATTTAGCTGGGACAAACTAAGTGAGACGCGGAACGAGACCCGCCAAAGCGACAGCAAGGACCACAGGTCTCACTGTCCTAGGGAAGCCAGACAATAAGGGGAGGTATCGGGACTAAGCAGCGGGAGGCGGCGCATGCGCGTCCTTCACGGTTCCACTCCATTGGGGATTAGGGAATTTCCCGTGTCTTCCGATCTGTCACTTGTTATTGCTCCAGGTTTCTTCACAGTCCTTTTCAATACAAACTCATTCTTGCCCACTTTGACAGGGCATAACAATCTAAAAAAAATAACGATGAGAGCGTATTCTAACAAGGGAATCGTATTCAAGACGTTAGCCCAAATTTTCTTTGCGATTTCTCTCAACATAGTTGGGATCGGCACCGGTAGCTCAAATGCCGAGAGTCAGGTAAGATAGAGCCCCAGGTAGATTCAGTCTATGCAAATGGGGGGAAATGTGTTGGAGAAAGAAAGAACAGAGAAGACGGAATGGACGCAGCTCAATTCAATCAGTGCCTCTGCCGAGTTTGAATTCCAAAAAATTACCGAGCCGTAGAATGTGATTCAGAAGTCAAGAATCATTGGGGAATACCTTTATTTCCATCATTCAAGAATAGTCTTGACATTCGCAGGTCGTACGACTCCTAATCCCTCGGCGTAACCAAGCTTGGCTAGGGACTGCAGCTTCTTGCTGGTGTCGTGTCGATTGCATTCTCTGTCATGGTGCCTATGTCGGGCAATTGTCAGCGAGCAGCCTCTCCCTAATAATTAATCCGTAACAAAGTTCTTGCATTTTAACAGATCGTGACAGTGAGTATAGAACATGTCAACCGAAAATACGCCTGTTGAAGGTGCCACAACAACAGTTGAATGCATCACGTTGTCCAGCTCAATATTTGTACTGTGCAGCCTGTTGGATTGAATAGAGACCATTCCTATTTTTGAGATTGGAGCAAAACATGCTGTACTGCAAATGCGGAGCTGCATTTGCTGGAAGCAACGTCAGTTTTGCTGTCCGCTAATGATGGGCTGCTGCTGTGATGCTGCACAACTGGAATATGAGCTAGACCTAATGGGGGAAGTGAAGGGATGTCTGTCGACCTTTGTCTTGCATGTACAGTCTCATTTTTCATTTTCCAAATCTTTTTTTCCGATTCTTAGGACTGAGACTATTCAGTACGAATTCTACATGTTCGACTAGCACCTTGCAAAACACTTAGCACTCCAATGGTAACTAGACAGGGTAGTCAGACTTTCGAGCGGGAGCGCTGACGAATTGTAACCGAAAACTCTTGGGTTCAAGAGGTAAGCTCTGAGAGTCGGGACTAATCAGCACCCGATACCAACGCGACTACTGGGGATAATAAACTTTAGGCAAGCGCGAACGTGGAGTCTCCTGACCAGAGAAAGCATATACCATGGCTCAAGAAGACTACCATTCAGATGCAGACGTTTTAAAGTCTGTACTACTAAGCAAAATCACGTCTAGGGACAAAGGAAGAATTTGGATGTAAGAAAATAAAAACAAGCGGCACCGTTGAATTCTTCTTACCTCCCTGCGCTAGGGTTTATTCTTGGGGGCACTGCGTACATCGCTAGCTGGGTCGGTCTGAGTGGCTTGCCTCTCCAGGTGTTTAATAGCGCGAATCTGAACGTGGTGAACAGCAGAATCTGAGCAACTGAGCTTATGAATAGTCGTCACATCAGACATTTGGGAAAATTTTTGGCGTCTTGCTTCTGAAACACAAGTATTCCTGCAATCAAGGTGAATGGAAGAAAGTCAGTGGAATCGGTTCATTACTGTATTTCTTTCACGCGCTCCTTACAGAACTTACATCCCGAAGGTATGTAAGTACTGTAAGATAACAGGTAACAGACAGTCGCGCCTGCGACCAAAAATAAACTTATTTCAAGGAAATGTTAATTCTTGGGGAGGGGACATGGCGGCGCCTGGGAGAATGCTCGCGGTAATGCAGTCTATACATGATCATTTATTTCCTCAATGATTTGTTACTGAAAAGTACAAGTGATACAGTTGATACGTGATAGCGGTTTGATACGGCTACTTGGTAACAACTTATATTTTTGAGCAAGTCATGTACAGTGAACTGCGGTGATAAAGATTAAGATATAAATACAGGTATATGTGTCCGTGTGCTCCAATGAACCGTTCCAGCTCCAGCTATAATAATCCATCTGAGGAAAATTGATTCCCCGGGGGAGCAGCTGGACATTTTCTGCCCTGAACCAAAATTAAAGCTGGAAGTAGGATGGCCCTGACAGCCAATTTATGTATTTTTTGTTGGATTTCCAGTTGAATATTTTGACTCGTCTATAGTCAGAAAATATCTATGTAGAGATTCCAGATTCATGCTTAGAGACAGCACCATCCACTGTTGGAATTTCAGTATCGGCACTATCCATCTGAAGTGGAATCTGAAGACGGATCCTGAAGCTTTTCACGACTCCCGTGGCTTAATGACAATAAAAATTCATAGGAAGTTGCAGTGCAACCTAAAGGTGGTTAACAAAGGACGATGTAAATCGTTGCTCACACTGCTTTTTTAAATTATAACTTTGCGATGCATCAGGACTGTTTCGAACGGAAAATGCGACTGAAAGTCACTAGTATAATAGATTTACAAGATATATGCAACTTACTTTCATTTGGCTTTGTGCTTTAGGTCAGAAATGGCGTACAAGGCATAATTTAATTGAAACCTAAATTCTAGTAACATCTATCATTATCAAAGCCGGAATTCTTCATGGGGAAATTCCGAAGTTGGTTCTGAATATTTAGCGGAAATGAGGGAGATGGAAAAGTTCATGGAAAAACCATTTGGCTTTTTAAAATGTGAGCAGTCTTTTTTTTCTATCAGAAGTACCATGTATAAGAATACAGACGTATCCTTGGGAAAGGTAGAAAGAAGAGAAATGACATATGATGCCGTTGTTTGCAGTTTCCCTTACGCGAGGTTGAGCCCTATGGAGTCGCCTTCCACACTTCCCTGGTCTCCACCTCAGGGTGAGTCCTCGTGGATCTCTCTCTCTCTCTCCCTCTCCTTCGAGACTCACGCTGAAGATGACGTTTTCTTTTTTCTTCTTGAAAGGGTCCGGATCTGGGAGCGAGGGCCCAGGTATCCTCTGCTCTGGTCCCGGTGGGACTTGGCAACATCCTGGAGGATACTCAGCAGAATCCCACACCCAATTCGCTCAGTGCTTTCTTCGAAGACCTTCTCTCCCTTCACCGCCTGGTAGGCGTACATTTCACTTCTCTCATTCCCAACATTCCCGAATGGTCTTATCCTGTTGTTGGATTTGTCTATTTGGAGTCTCCGGCTCATCGATAGCGGGGGTCAGGGGTGCTCAAACTACAGATCCAGTCCGCTCTGAGATGTACATATTCCCGTGGTTGGTTCACGTTGACATGAAATCTCAAATAATCAAGTTCAGAAAATATAATTAGATTACTTGCGTCTGATCTTATTGGTTCTTAATTTGAAATGAAAGTTTTAACGAATGGCCCCCGTGAGAAAGTCACTTTTCATACAGTTGAGAAAGTTTGAGCGCCCCTGACTAAAGTCATCAGTTGCAGCACTTTTGGCATAGAGGGGTAGTCCACATCTCAACGTCGACTCTTCACCTGGTCTCTCTTCTGAGAGAGATTGGCGCAGATTGATGATTCCTGCAACCGGATTGCCTCTGTTTTAGGGGGAGAACTTATGAAAGGATGGGATATTTATAAGGTTATTTATAGGGGATATTTATGGGGTTAGAGACATGATTACAAGAAATCCATAATGGAAATGATTATTGTAGTTTATGCCGTGTGATGACCGCTGGCCGTTCTCCCTTTTAAGGGTGAGAAGGCAAATGTATTTCCTTGTGTCGCACTCATATCCACCTCAAATGATTCTGTATTTACATACCACAGAAGAACCAAGGATACAATGGGAACATATTTTTATTGAGGAAAATCAAATGAAATGGGTAGAGATTGAGTAGTGAAGGTCTCTAGAGAGTCGAAATTAGGTTCAAAATTTACCTTCAGATCTTGAATATTCATGGTGGAATTTGGATACAGTCAGTGGCGTATTTTACGGGGGGTCAGAGGGGGCAGCCGCCCCCCCTGGCGCCCCCTTGGAGGTAATACGAAGTAATTTCCCCAACTGATATCACTAGGGTAGGGTATGGCGCCCCCGTGCTGTTGCCCTGCCCCCCCCCCC